CTGTTTCAACACTGACAAAAATATCACTTGTAGCAGGAGAGATTGAATGTGCAAGAGAAACGGGGTCATTGCAGAAGGTTTCAAGGTGATAGCACTGAAAAAAAAAAACCAACAACAAAAACCAAAAACCTGCCATACTACCCAGAGCCCCTGCAAGCTCCTTGAAGATCACAGGTCAGGGCTTGTGCTAAAAGTTTAAGGACTGGCATCTGGAGAGCGTGATTCTGAATCAACGCTCAGTGGCGTTGCCTGGTAATGTACATACGTGTATGTGTCATGAGCCACATGCTCAGTTCATCTTCGCTTCTTTCCTAGGAGCTGATGAAGACATAGAGAGTCCAGAGCTGACAACATCCCGACCGACTCCAAAGATCTCGTTCACTAGTGCTGTTCCCAAAGTGGAAACCATGACGCTGAAGACGCAGAGAGTTACACCTGCTCAGACCAAGGTGCCCTTGCTTGGCGTTGCGTTAGCATGTACTTGCGGATACTGCTTCCTTTTGACTGCGCAGAACAGTCCTTTTGAGAGCCCCCCCCCTGAAATTATGTGGGGACAGACGGGCCTTCCATTCTATTGCTGTAAACGGCTCTCTGCTCTTTAGCAACATCTTACGGTTGACCTGCTTACTATTCTTACCGCTGAGGCCTAACTTCCTTATGGATATACTGTTTTTAACATGACACTCTTTCTTGTGGAACTCCTTTCCCCCAGTTATGAAGCAAACTCTATTTAGCTTGAGTCAGGTTTTTTTTTTTTCTTCCCCGTGTCAAAAAACATGGTGAACTTCAGATCTGCTGGAACAGGTTAAGGGACTGAGACTCCAGGTCCTATCTTAAGGTCTCAGTGAGCGTCTAGGTCCACCATCATTGCTGCACAAACTTGTTCCACTCTCAGATATACATGGACCTGCTACACCTGTACCTGTATTTATTTGTTGTGAGGGCTTACTTAATAAGAATGAGATGGCTAGACTTAGAACAGAACAAAACTACTAGCTGATGAAAACACTGGGTTTATGTATTTGACCTTGTTAACATTACATTGTGTTTAGCTAACCATCCACTACTAGGTAAGCTATTTAATATGGAAACTGCATAATAAGAAGAAACGCACTGAATTCTGGATCTAGTAAATTTCTTGGATCATTGGGAAGGCAAGATGTAAATATATATGTAGCAGGCACCTGAGGCCTGGTAAGCAATATATAAACATTTGTTGAACTTGGTGGCACAGAATCATTCAAACCAGTTCACCAAGTGAGCATGAGTAATAATTCAGTGGGTAGACTTCACACACTTCTGGGATGGCATGCTGCTTATGAAAACTTAGCAACACACGCATCCCGTTTTTTCAGTTCATCCATCTGTTCGTTTAGAAGTAAGATACTGCCAAGCTCTTTCGGTGTCCAGGCTTTGGAAGGCTGTTCCCTGGGAGGCAGTGACAGGCATTTGTAGTGATATATTATTTATGACTTCCCGAATGCTTGACTGAGGATTCAGAAAAGCAAAGTCAGCCTCGAGCTGTAGAGACCAGGCAGTGGTGATACACACCTTTAATCCCAGCAGCCAGAAGCTAGGACCAGTGGTGGTGCACACCTTTCATCCTAGGACTCAGAATTAAGAGGTTGACTGAGGCCACCCGGATCTACACAAGAGTGAATCAGTCTAAAAGAGAATTATAGCTCACACCTTTAATTCCAACATTAGGGAAGTATATAAGGCAGAAGCAAGGTCTCAGTACAGCCATTCATTCTCCAGCCACCCTGAGGAGAGGCAGCAGTTTGAGGCTTGGTGAGAGCTTAGCTCGTGCGTGCCTCAGCCCATTCAGCCTGAGACAGAGGTGAGAGCCAGTGGCTGGCTGCTTTGCTTTTTTGAACTTCAACTTGGAGTTTGAACCCTATATCAGTCTCTGGGTCCTTTTTTTTTTTTTTTTTTTTTTTTCATGTTGCAGGCAGGCATTGTGAAGCACCCCTCTGCCAGCAGAAACAGTCAGGCTTTTCTTAACTGTGGCCGTACCCTTCTCCTCCTCTTCTTGGTTCTCCCCACCCGTGGGATTTTGAAGCCATGACTCAAATGGGTGGCTCCCTGCAGACACGCAGTAGCCAGAGCTCAGCTCTGTGTGGATTAACACGCTCTCTCTGGGCTCACGGGGGCATTGGTACTGTTGCCAGCAATCTTATTCCACAGTTAGGAAACAGGAAGGCAGGGAGATCTGCTGTGAGGACTACGGCAGATGTACGTAGCATTTTCTGAAAGCTGTTTCACTGGTTTCTCAGTTGAATGAATGAAAGAAAGGAAGAGGGCAGAAATGAAAAGCAGAAGGTGCTTTGATGGTAGGGTGAGTTACATCAGCCCGTGTGTGGCAGTTAGTTTGTATGCCTGTAGGAAGACAGCCTTGGTCTCTCCCACAGTTTTACTTGGCCTCTTCTCTTGCAATGTGTTCAACTCTGTAACCATTGAGACTCAATATCTTGGAGTAAGAAGCTCTCCTGGGGGAAGTTTTAACTTTCAATCCTAAAGAGTTTTATCCTAAGCAAACCCCAGTTTGGTACAGATTTCTGGACTACTGACAAGTATCGATTGGAAATTGATTTAAGTTTGTAAAATTTAATCCTAATAAGTAACTGATTTGGCTTTTGTTAACAAATGGACATTTGGTGATGAGTTTAGAAATTAGAGATCCCTGGACATTTTAATGCAAATATTTCTATTTTTAGTTATGTTTACTGTAATGACAAGAATTCATCCATTCATGGGAGGTTTATTCAGTGTGTGACAAGCACCATCCCAGGTGATGATAATGAAGATATTGATCCTGAGTGACAATAATAACAATGTAATTTTCTGTTTATAGTTACATGGTATGGCTGAATTCAACCTTGCCTGTCGGATGCCATTAGTAAGGGTTCTGCTTTGGAATGAATAGGTCTCACAGTGGCATTGCTGTCAGGGGTATAGATATTCTGTCTAGTTTGTTGTGCATCTGTGTGACTGAAGAGTAAAAAGAGACCTTCCTTGTTTTTCTGGAGCCTGGTCTTTTCCACACCACATTTTCACAGCCTCTAGACATCCAGACACGGATTCAATAAACATTCAATTGGCTTCATTTAATTATCTGTGCTCCCTTTTCATAATTCCAGTTTGCACAGACATATATATGAGAGGCATTTTGGGGTAGCTCTATCCTGGGTGGTGGTTTCTTCACTGTGGAGCCTGCACTTAACTCCCGTTCAATTGAGCATCTCGATTTAAAAAGCGATTGCTCCATCTGGAGCACCTTGAGGCTTGTGCACTGACCGACCACTCTCGTTTCACCGTGAACAGCGGTCTAGAGCATCCCTTGAATGATTTTTTTTTTTTTGTCTCCTTCATATTGAGAAGTTGAGAGTCAAAGAGAACTAAACAAGTCAGCTCATAAATGACTTTAGAGACTTAACAACAGGTAAAGCCATGTGGCTTTGTAGTAATGGATTAAAGATGCTAAGGATTGCGTAAACTTGGGGGGGGGTGTCTAAGCTTCAGTGTTGGTTCTCATTCCTGCAGCATCCACTGACATCTTTTCCTGGACACACACCTGCCTGATTCTCCTCTGCCCTTCCCTAACTTCTAACAGCCTAGCAACCAAAGCAATGCTAATGAGCAGTGAAGCATGCGCCTCCTTGATGAGGACTCAGATAAGCCACTCTCTGATCTGCTGCCCACCCTGCCAGGCAGCCAGTTGGTGATGGGGATTCCATAAGAAGAAACTGGAGAGAACCAGCAAAACACTGCCAACAGGCTTCTCTCATCTGTTTCACTTGGACGCAGCAGGACTAGGGAGGAACTTCCATGTTTGCTTCTAGACTCAGACTGAAAACAGAGAAACCTGGCTTGGTGTTTATGCGGTGATAAAATGATAATTTATGGAAATCACCGCAGCTTAAGATTTTACGAAGTACAGAGTTTCTTGTAGTTTGGGAAAGAAAATGACACTATCACATATTATGACTGCACTTGGCTGAAGCCTCGTGTATTCTGATCACTGAGATGGGGGACCCACTGAACCCCATTGATTACTAGAGTTCAAGTGAAACCACCCCCTGTCCCCCCACCCCCCCTTGGACTTTGAGGCAGTCCAAGAAAACAAACTCTTTTCTTAGTTATTTTGCCTTAGGATGAATTCCAGCCTTCAAAGAGCAATTGAATGACACATGGCACATTATTCTGGTAAACATGGATGAACATTCTTAGGAAGAATTAGAATAGGTTTGGCTAGGGAGGAGGCTCATTGTCTACCGACTTTATAGCTTAAGAGGGTTAACAGTGTTTTCCCATCAGTAGTGCTAGCCAAAGAGAAAGAACTTAACCTGGTAGAGATCAGCCAGTTCACTGGGACCTAATGTCTCTAAATCAGGGGTTCTCCAGACACAACACCATCTGAGGGATTGTAAATAACAGTAAAAACCAGCATCACATTCCCAATAGCAGACCAAATGAACAAAAATCTCTGCTCAAAAGACGTGTGTTTGTGTGAGTGTGTGTGTGTGTGAATGAGAGAGAGAGAGACAGACAGACAGACAGACAGACAGATAGACAGACAGACAGAGATAGAGAGAGAGAGAGATGGGTTGCCTGCCTCACTGGTCTAGAAGTCACTGAGCAAGCTGGCTAGAGCCTTAGGATTCTACCATGGCCCCCACCCAGTATTTTCGTGTGGCTTCTGAGAGTCAAACTCAGGTTTCCGTGCTTGCAAAGCAAGCACACACTTTATGGACAGGGCTATCTTCCCAGCCCAGAAAGTAAAGATTCTGAGAATTGTCAACGAAAATAACCATGCATATCATTCGTATGCTATGAACTCATTAACTACCCACCTTTGTTGCCATGATACAAAAAAACACAAGCTACATAGGTCCAAACGTGGGCCTCACCCATGGGCATTTAAACATTATACAAATTATTATTACTATAATTGACTACACCTGTTTTTAATAAATTAAGGAAATTGGGGATATACTTACCATCATTTCTTCTTCCTAGCCCGTCTTTGAAGGGTGATTACTAATGTTTCCTTTCTTCTCCGTGTCAGTCGCCTGAAGAAATTGACAAGGAGGAAGTTGGCATCTCTGAGGCGGAAGAGAAGCTGGGTCCTGCTGTAAAAAGCACAGACGTGTACACAGAGAAACATTCAGACAATCTGTTCAAACGGACAGAAGTCCTAGCAGGTGAGTTGCCGGCAGAGTCAGGTGGGAAAGAGCTTAAAGATCCCCTCACTGGGGAAAGTGGCGTTCGGTGGCCATAGTAAAGCATTGTTACCAGCCACCTGGAAGTCATCTGCAGGCTCTTTATTTCATACCGACAGGGGAGAGGTTAGGGTTGCTTTGCCCGCTTTCTGGTTGTAAAGAGAAGCTTTTTCTTTGAGAGGAGCCTTCCCGCCAGCCTGGTTCTAGAGCCGCATCAGTCCCAAATAAACACACAGGAGGCTATATTAATTATGAAGCTGTTGGCCTTGCTTGTTTCTTACTGGCTAGCTCTGACTTAAGTAATTACCCCATAATTGTTAATATAAGTATTTCTCTTACCGGAGAATAGTTCTGGGCTTCCTACCCCATGGCGTTCCATCTTGATTCTCTGTGTTTCTCCTTCCCAGAGTCCTCCTGGACTCCTAATCCCACCTATCTAGATTCCTATTGGCTCAACAGTGCTTTATTGACATAAGACTTCCCCAACACCTGGTAGCTCCTCTAGCCCATCCCTCAGACGGCCGTTGATGAGAGGCTGAAGTGATTAGGCAGTTCCAAGTTACAGTCTGCCATGGTGAGGATGTTAGAATCCCAGGAGCTTGAAGCAGTGAGACCTAATAGGCCCAGGACTGTTGGGCGGGGGCCGGGGTAGGAGATGCCAATCCGAGGAAATGTGTCCCTGGAGTTCAAAATCAACTTCAGAGGAGGGAAGGGTTAGAAAGAAACGCCACCCACGTGAAATGACAGACTATGGATACCCACCCATGGAGGGCCTCACCCTCCCTCCGGATAGGAGTGGGGGTTGGGGGACGGGGGTTGGGGGAAGGCGTGAGAGGGACCCGGGATTGACATGTGAAGCAACCTTGTTTCTAATTTAAATTTAAAAATAAAATTAAAAAAAGAAAAAAGGAAATGCTACCCACGTGATAAGAATTTTGCCTCCCGCCGAAACTCATCTGTTGAGGGTACAGGTGGAGCATCACGGCTCACGGGGGGCTGGAATATTGCAAACATCCAAAGCTTTTAAAAATCCCGACGTGGCTCCACAAGTGGAAGGTCTCACTTCCTTACACACCCAAAACACAGGCACCCTACACAAACTTTGCCTTATGAATGCAACTACTTTTAAAATTGTGCAGATTTTCCTTTGTGTTACGTGTATAGGGTATCTTCGAAATCGTAAGTGAATTTCGTGTTGAAACCTGGACCTGATCCCTGATATTCTTATCCCACATATGCAAATATTCAAAGATATGAGAAAGACCATACACCAAAACACTCCTGGTCCCAGAGATTTCCGATAAGTTGAATACACTGAAGAAGCTTGTGTTGGTATTTGTTTTAAAGGTGAAGACGTTTAAGGTTTAACAATGCCTCGAACTCAGGAACAGAAAGACATTTGCATGCTTTTTGTATCTACTTTTCAGTCCTTAAACTCTTTTGTATCGTGGTCTGCACTTTCATTCTGATTAGAGGTGTACCCTGTGAAATGCAGGCACTGAATGCCAAGCCAGTGTTTGAAAGGGTAGGATCAGTTGAGGTTGCTGCTGGAGGCTTGTGGGCTGATATTACCATACTTTGAGAGGGATGACGCTACTGAAACTCCTTAAAAACATGGGTTCTCAAATTAAACATTTTGTATGAATGTCAGTAGATTGGAACTGACCAAACTGATTCCTGCAAACCTTGAACCTCATGTAAAGGAGCTCTCCCTTTTGGCTCGTTTCAGCTGTCATCGCTGGCGGGGTGATTGGCTTTCTCTTCGCCATTTTCCTGATTTTGCTGTTGGTGTACCGCATGAGAAAGAAAGACGAAGGGAGCTATGACCTCGGAGAGCGCAAACCATCCAGCGCGGCTTACCAGAAGGCACCTACTAAGGAGTTCTACGCATAAAAGCTCCCACTTAGTGTCTCTTACTCGGGAGATCACTGAACTTTTCAAAATAAAGCTTTGGCATAGAATAAGATGAAGATCTTTGTTATTTGTTTTGTTCATTACAGAGCCATACTGGCCCTTTAATGATTTTAAAAAAATCCCATTGTATTTAAAACTTTTCATGTATTTCTTTAGAAGGACATAAAAAGTAAAAAAAAAAAAAAATTAACATCTGCAGTGTTCTGTGAATAGCAGTGGCAAAATATTATGTTACGAAAACCCTTGACATTCATGGAATTGGTTTGAACATCTATGCGCAAATACAGAATGATTGTGTTTGTCCTCTGGTTCAAAGATGACTGCTGCTCCCCTCATCAGCATGTCTCCAATTGACCTTACCAAGTTGGTCTTTGTTAATTTATCTCTTGTCCCTCTTCTCTGCCCTCCCTTCTTGTCCCCTTCCTTAAAAACAAGACCTTATGCCTTTTGTAGCTGTCACGGTGCAATTTGTCTTTGAATGATTACGATAATGGTAATTTAGTGTATATGTGATTTTTTTTCCAAATATGTAAACCTACTTTATGTACTTTTTTAAATGTCAAGACTATCCATTTTACACTTGCTTTACTTTTCATTACCTGTAGCTTCAGGCAGATTTGCAACAGCAAATTAATGTGTAAAATTGGATTATTACTACGAAGTTGTTTAGCCCTAGTGATCTAATCAGATCTTCTTTTGGGAGGATTTGACATGAGTAACTGACAAGCCTCAGCAAACCCAAAGATGCTAACAGTATTTTGAGAAGTTGCTGCAGATTCCTTGGCCACTGTGCTTGTTAATTTCCTGCAATTTGAAGGTATGAGGAAGACTTAAAAGAAAAGATCAGCTTTTGTTCTTAGAAAATGCATTTAAGTTGTAAACATCTTTTTAAGCCTTTGAAGTGCCTATGATTCTATGTAACTTGTTGCAGACTGGTGTTAATGAGTATATATAACAGTTTAAAATACAGTTGGTATTTTATAAGCACAGACAATTCTAATGGTAACTTTTGTAGTCTTATGAATAGACATAAATTGTAATTTGGGAACAAACAAACTACTGAATAAATCATGTGGCCTAATATTGAAAATGTCACTGTTATAAATTTTGTACATTTTTGTCAAATGTACATCTCCCCTTTGCTATGACTGACCGTCTGCTCTCAGCAATGATGTGGGTTTGATTTTTGAGTATTCCATGGTGTCTTTAAGTCAAGACCAAAGAGCCCAACAGCAAGGCTGTTTATTCCCAGAGTCACCTCTGAATTGGCCAGAGGAAATGTATATATCGTCCTGCGTGTGTCTGGGTACAAGGTTAGGAAGGCTGCCAGGGATTTCAAGATTTGCAGCCTTTATGGTGTAGCTACTGACAGTACTGAGAAAGATGCCTTCTTTTGCAATTTACTCTTAAAAGTATAAATTCCAAAGAAGTGAAAGGCCCTTTCTGGAGATAGGTGCCTCGGGCTCAATCCTATAGATTTATTTATCTGCCAAAGTCCCCCACCCCCAGAGACTAGTAGAAGAATTCCTGTGTGGGATACTACAGCCACTCAGTGGGGCTGGAGGGAAGGATAGGGAGGTTCTGGGTGATAAATTGTCTTGCTACTGAGAACGGATGTTTGTAGGAAAAGTAGTGCCACAGGAGAAGACCGAGGGATGAGAGTACCCAGGTTGGGTACTCCTTGTACAAAGCATTTTTTTTCTGTTCTGTTTTTTACTTTATCATTAATTTTATTTTTAAGCTGTGAGCCATGGAAGTAGAAAGAAGACAGCAACAACCACAACTTTTGCAGCATAAAGTTTACTTTTTAATAAAGTTTGACTACTTTGTTTGAGAACCTTCCCTGGACTTGCCACAGAACTCATTCAAACAAAACTAAAGTAACACTTGGAACCGTGTTGTATCTGAATCCTTAATGGCCTTAATTCCCAAATTCCTGTCCAATTACAGACGCAGTTCACCTTGTTTAGGACGATTAAAAGGAAATGATGGGCCCTTCCAAAGCTGCACAATGCCCCTCAATTACAGAGGTTAAGAATGTAGTGGGTATACCTCTAACTGTGCAAAAACAGTGCAATTCTATTTGTAGAATAACTTGCTTGGAATATCTGTGCCAGGAAAAGAATTTTCTGGCAAATATTTTGTCACTGCTGTAAAGCAAATTTGTTCAAGTGCCAAAATAAAGTCTGTCATGCCTAAAGTAAATCATTGTATAGACTCACATCCAGTTTCCTGTATGCTTTCTGCTTAGGTTGGTTTTTTTTTCTTTTTTAATTTTTAAGAAACAGTAAGCAATATCATAAAGTGTTAGTAGTCATTACTGAGTTCAGGAAAATTTTGGTAAACTATAAAAATTAAAGCCAGTGTGGTAGTTCCTGTTTTTTTAACCGCCTGTGAATGAGCTCCCTTGTGTAAGTATTGCTTTTTCTTTGAGAGATCTGCAGTATCTGCACCGCCTGTTTGTAGCACGTTGTGGGGGGGGGTGGGAAGAGCACATTTAAAAAAAGAAGAAGAAGAAAAATTTTGCTTACTGGTAAAAAGCCCTGGAACTTCAAGATTAAGGCATTGTTAATAAAATGGAATTTAGCTAGAACAAGACAGAAACAGCCCTCAGTTATTGTTAACAGTTGAGTTTCCTGTCACATGTCCAGTGAATTGACATCTAGGAACACTCTGTGTAACAGCCCTAGCTGTCCTGAAACTAGCTCTGTAGACCAGACTGACCTCGAACTCACAGAGATCCCTCCTCCTCTTCCTCCTGAGTGCTGGGATTAAAGGTGTGCGCCATCACTGCCCGGCTCAAGAAAAAGAAAAATTAAGTAAGTATATTTACATAAAAATATAAAACCTAAAAATGTTACAGGGTTGGTTTGGAGTGCTGGTTTTTGTTTGTTTGTTGTTCTTTTGTTTTGCCAACCGGACACAAGGTAGGGTCTTTTGGGAAGAGGGAACCTTAATTGGGAAGATACTTCCAAAGCGTCAGCCTGTAGGTATGTCAGA